ATGTATGTCAGCAGACAGATCTACACCGAGGAAGTGCGAGAGCGAGCACACGAGCGAACGATATTTCGTGTCACCCTCTTATTCTGGACGCATTTCGGCGCCACGTCATTCGCCAATATATTCCTACCGTTTCTTACTGTAGGAACACATATAAAATCGTTAATTTTCTCTTCCCCAGACGTTAATTTTCTCTACACCATCATCATTTCTTTCATTCTTTTTCTCTTTGAATTATTTTTCTTACACCTTTGTGTAATTTTCGCTATTTCCCAAGTCAAAGCGATCGGATGATTTTTCTTCGAGTTACAACTGCAGCCAATTTAAAAAATGTAGTTTTGAGAAAAACGCGTTCAAAGATACAATGATTGCTTTATAATCCCTGACCGACTACTCTTTGGAAGAAAAAAAAAATCAATTTTTACAAAATTTCACGCTAGGTGTGCCCCATAAACGTGCACGTAAATATATATGTATGCTTAGGTGTAAGAATGAAAATAGTATAGTCATCAATGAATTACTATCGAAGGAACGATCTCTAGGAAGGAGTACTGAAAGAAATAATGTTTCTCTTTCTCTGTCTTTAGTGGCCTACCTAATATGCACGCTACGTCAACTATCTCCTCCTCCTCCTCCTCCTCCTCCTCCTCCTCCTCCTCTTCCTCCTCCTTTTCTTTTTCTATTTGCTTGCTTTTTTCATCGACCATTGGACATCGCGACATTTCTATACTTTGGAATGCGTGTCCGGCGGCATTCCTTGTTAGCATTACGAAGGAATCGTCGAGGTCGTCTGGTTCGAGTACCACTCCCACAGACACGAGAAACAGCTACGGAAGCTACGACAAAACGTGACAAAAAGAATGAAAGAAAGAAAGAAAGAGAAAGTACGAATAGTCGTACGCGGTCGTTCAAAGACCAAAGAAAGAATCAACGACTGAAACTATTGTCATTCCGTTATAAAATCCCTCTAAATTGTCACCTCATCAACATTTCTTCAACCGATTGCAACGTAAAAAAAAGATTATTTTATTTGTTTCTTGTCTCGAATGAAAAGGAGAGAAAAAAAATGGATTAGAAATATATCGTATTTAATAGGAAAATCAGAGAAAATCTAAATTTAGGAGTTATAAAAGTGGATGAAAGCGGATGAAAGCTCATTAGCCAGAGAAACTTTTGGAATCGCGATCCGAAACGATTGTCTCCGTCTGTGTCGTAAAAGCATACGCTCGGATGAACACGATCAAACGTACCTATATTATACTTATACTTTCCGTACCATAGAAAGTTAATTGGCCATGACCAACGATCATCGTTATCACATTATAACAGTAGCGAGAGATCCCGTGAAAAATAATAACGGTGATTAAGTCTGCAACGACGCGTGGAGTTAGCCGATATACGTATATAACACATGAAAGAAGGAAAATTATAAGCTCAAGGTTAACGATAGATAGATAGATAGATAGATAGATAGATAGATAAATAGAACGATATACATTCGATCGGTACACCATTACCCGCTCACGTACGTAAATCAATTTTACTTATTATCTATCTATCCCTCGCGAATGGTCAAGATAATGACCATTTGTTGTAAAAATAACAACAAAATAAACGTTCCAGATAGAAATTACGAATAAAGGATTCGTTCCTTTCCTTTCCTTTCTTTTTTTTTCTATTTCATTTTGTCCTATTTAAAAATAAGAAATAATTATTCTGAAACAGCCTGTAGAAATGTAACCTATATGAAGAAGAACAGATTCTCGATAAACACAAGAAGCTCGTGGTCAAAATTCGAAACCGTAACGAAAATGTAGAAGAGATTGGCTCCTTTCCTGAGGGAAACTTCGGAGTGAGAATAAAAAGGGATGGAAAGAGGGATGGAAAGAGGGATGGAAAGAGGGATGGAAAGAGGGATGGAAAGAGGGAGGGTGAGAGAGTAGTTCGGAGGTGACTCGGCTGACAGGAGTTCCGAGCCCGGTTGAGGCAAGAAGTCCCTCTTCTATCCTTGTCCTTTTCTTTCTTTCTTTCATTCTTTCCTACTTTTTCCTTCTTTCCTACTTTTTCCTTTGCTCACTCCTTCACCCAACTTTATAATTCTTGCGACGCTTTTGGGGAATGAGATTGCCGGCGTGGTGGGCGGAAAAAGGAGGAGGAGGAGAGGGTTTAAGGTAGTCCGCTGGCGCCAGTGACGTCTGCCGAATAGATGCTGACTTTCAGACTCCTGCAGTTTCGTTTAAGTGTTTCCCTTTTCCTCTCTACGCTACTTCAGATTCCTTCGCGCACCTTTCTTATCATCATTCTACTACAATAAAATAGATTTTCCCTTTTTAGTTATCATCTAAAGATCACTCCAATTATTTTCGTACACGTTACACACAAACGCGTATACGCGTTAATATTTTTCCATTAATATTAGATATATTTATTATCGATAATTATATTTTCTTAAAAATTTGTTTAAACGCACGTCCACCCTTCTTCTTGTAACATACACGCGAGTTGTTGTAATCTGTATACAAAATTACGAAAGAAAATTACGAACGAAAGAGATAGAGAAATGGTGGAGAGATGAAGGGGTGCGGGATGGTCGTGGTTGTGGTGGTGGTGGTGGTGGTGGAACGGGGGTAAAACGTAGCGAAAAAAAAAAAAATATCTTGTCGCGTATGTATCTACGCGGAATAAATTGTTGAAATATGCCGGGGGCAGTAATATACCCGCCGAACACATAACGCACAGGGCCAATATTTTTTTTTACTACGTCTACCAACCAGTAAAAAATATAATATTTTCCTAAAAGCTAATATCTATATCCCGGGCCGATATCGTTCTGTGTAAATAACGTCTGACTCGTAGAAAAGTTTGCCGGGCTGGAGGGAGAGGGGAGGAAGTGTATAGGCACTAATTTAACGCGAATCAACGAAGCGATTTTTCTCGCTTCGAATTCGTTGCTACTTAAGTATTATACATAAATACACGTTGTAATAGGTTTTCAAACGAGGCGTCCTGCGAAAAGCACTTCAACATTGTTGCATCCGCGTGTTTCTTGTGTAAAAGATATCAAATAAATCAGCGAGTTTTTTTTTCGTTTAACTCGTAGCTCTTTTAGCGAATGATATACCACACTTTGTATATACCACCTTGGTCAATTCAACATTATGCAATAAGAAAAAAGGGGAAAATTGGGGAAAAGCACGTAAAAAAAGTCTATTGTTATCGTTTCTTTGTTATCGATGACGATTTGAACGATAGCACATTGTCGAGAGATTTAGCGACACGTAATGCAAATGTTGATAATCCTTTATCTTCTCGCGTACTACTTTCTTTCTCCATTTTCATTTCCATTTGCATTGGGAAGCCGCGAGGTAGGTACCGTACCACCGAGTCGAGATGCCGAGGATAAAACCGTAATTACACGCGAAGCACAGGTCTACTTGTGTGTGTGTGTGTATACGGCAAAGATTAAAAGGAGCGAAGCGCGAATTATTTTAGCCGGAGGTTTCGTTACATGCGTTCCATACACCGACGAAACTCATTTTTGCGAAGAGGGACTGTCGTTCGTTCATTCGTTCGTTCATTCGTTCGTTCATTCATTCGTTCGTTCATTCGTTCGTTCGTTCATTCGTTTTCTCTACCTTTCTTTTATTCCCTACAAGCGATTGCGTAAAAAGGACTCTCCCTCTATCTTTCCTTCTCTTTTCCTTTCTCACCCACTTCCTCCCTCTCTTGGGTAACTTCTATCGCAAGTCTTGCAGAATAATTGCACTGAGCTTTTTCGAAAAAGGCAAAGGCCGTAACATTCCTGTTATCGTAATCAACGCGATACCAAATGACAAAAAGTATTCTCTCTCCGCGAATATGTAATAAACGTCGTGTTTAAGGGCTGCTGCTGCTGCTGCTGCTATCCTTGCCGTAGAAACGAATTCTGTAAAAAGGTAGTAACGATATCAAACGGTGTTACGTATGATATCTATTTTTATTGCATTTTTTTTCTCTTCGTTCTACCTCGCTTTCATAAAATTTCATCTAACGTATTTATTATCTGTATCTATATCAGTATTTTTAATTCTTTATTTAAAATATCAAAATTATTATTCTTCTCTTTCTCTCTCTACCCCTTTCTAAAAAAGAAGAACAAAATTGTAATTTCTTTCGGTTTAATAAACAATTCTCAGTATACGAATATCCACATGCTTCTCATCGATATTAACTATTATATAATATTTTGTTTATTATACATATATATATATATATATATATATATAGATAATATCAAGATACATAGATATATTTACGTCGATACGCAATAGAAAGAACGTGCGATATCTTTTGATTTCGAAGGATGAAACGTATGTGAGAGAATGATGAAAATAATTGGATAGATCTCGATCCCGCGCATTGAGCTCATGCTCAGCGAGAAATGCATACGTAGTGCACAAGTCAACAATGATATCGAACAAAACAGGTGGCAGTATGATATATAAATGTGACGGCACGTACGAACTGGTATACAAAACGGTGGTATAACTCTGACACGGTTTATTAAACACCGTTCGCGAGACCATTGTTATGGCTCGAAAGAGAGTGCAAATATTATTCTGCATGGACGCGACCGGCATTAAAGGGTATCTCCATCATACCTTTCGAATATATCGATTGTCGTTTGTCCGATGCTTGTCGAAAAATATATCGTTCGATTGGATATTTCCCGTATTATGTTTACGAAACGGAACCTAAGAAGACTTTTTTTTTCTCTTTTTTACCAGGAGTCGTCGAATCGTGAATGTTGATTTTTATTATTTGTTGTTAATAAAAACTAAATTCAATGGAAAATGTTATGGAAGACGATTGGATCGGCAAACAAGAAAAAAAACATCCTAAAAATAATTGAACAAAATATTTGTATTGAAAAATGTGAAAGATTTTTTCTTTTGTTTTTTTTTCTTTTTTTTCTTTTTTTTTTTTTTTGATAGAAAAATAAATATAATAAAAAAGTAACTCACCGAGTTGTCCCTCTGACATCCCGCAATAGTTATCCCACCCATCCGACGATGGAATTGGTAAGGACAAAGGTGGTGTCGAGGGCAGAGGGGTCCACTGCTAGTGAACCCAAGAAGGTGGTGCCGCGGGAGTCGCTGCATTGGTGCTCATGTAAACTCCCGCGGGTGCATTTCCGGTTGTCGTGACGACGCCATTGTTTTGAGTAACGAGACCATTTTGCCCGATATTGCTGTCGCTCACTTGAATCGCAGCAGTACCCATTACACCTTGTTGGAAATTGAAATCCAACGTTTCGTCCATCGACAATTCGTGATTTATTACCTATCATTAACAAAATACAATATTCTAATGCATTATTGATATTTAATCAACTAAATGAGTACTATAAAACAGTATATCAATTATTATCATTATTTTACTCCTATTGCTAATCATTTATTTCAGAATAAATATAAATAATGTGTAATATATGCGAAAAATGAACGAACCTCTTCGACGTTGCAATCAAATCCACCGTGCAACGTTTCGATGTTAATGTTGAGATCGTCGAGAAGAGCCGAGTTGTTTAGGGCACCCATTAATTGTCCCATCATTGTACTTGGTGTCGATTCGCATGACGTGGGGGTGTTCGGTGGACTCGAACCAGGTGGTCCATTTTGTGTTTGCTGTTGTTGCTGCTGCTGCTGCTGATGCTGCTGCTGCTGCTGTTGTTGCTGCTGCTGTTGCTGTTGTCGTTGTTGTTGTTGCTGCCGTTGTTGATTTTGAATCATATATTGAATCGTTTGCTGTTGACTGGTACTGAGTGTCGTTGGGCTTGGTTCGCTTTGCTGATACGACGGTGACATTCCGGAAACTGGACTCAGGTTCTAAACGTTTCATACAAAACAATATTTACGTGATTCACATGCAAGACCATTCGATTAAAAATAAATACTGTTACGTACTATTAACAAATATTCGATAAAAAGTAGCTTAAATCATATATAGATGCAATTGTTAAAACAAATTGACTTTCTTTTCGATATACATAAGTCTACACAGCACTACGAATTTTGTATGTATTTTTCTAATGATTTTCAAACGTTTTTAATCCTTTGACTAATGTGCAAACATTAAGAAATATAAAATATATTTACCACCTGACAAGCGCAAGCTTGTAAACGATGTATCGGACAACTCTGTTGGTTTCTCGGCTGAGGCGTAGGTGGAAGTCCAAAAGATGCAGCGTTACGAAGTGCACTGGTGGTCCTTTGGTATTGTGTCTCGAAATAAGAAGGCGGTGGACCAGTTTGTTGCTGATGATTTGGGGGTGATGTCTGATACATTTGAAAGGACTCTAGTTTCATAGTTTCCGCGAGGCTACCAGCCAGGATCGTATCTGTATAACAAAAGTTAGATAAGGGTGGATCAAATCGATCAGTATCGATGCGTATGGTGATAACGTGAGAATACTTATCAATGGGAACTACAAACCTAATTGTTCCGGACTATAGGAAGATGCATAGGTTGGCGTCCAGTCTGGTTCCTCGAGGACGCGTCCAATCTGGCTTCCTGCCGGAATGGGACTCAATCGACCCGAAGAGGACGCGTTGCTCGATGTTCGAGGTCTTTATGGAGAAAGATATTCTTTTTATTTTAGGGTAAAAGTTGTTCTTTCGAAAAGGGTATCGTTATAAAGAAGCAAGTAAGTAGGTAGGTAGATAGAAAGGAAGGAAGGAAGGAAGGTATCGATCTATCGTTTCTTTTCGCCAATGTGTCTTACCGTAAGTCCGGTGAAAGTTGATATCCACTCGGATGAAGTGAACTGTCAGAGAAAAGGTCCAAACTCTCGCTGACGCTGCTACTTGGGCTTGGTGTAGCATCAGCTTGCAAAACTCCATTTCTCAATGCTTCGACCTTCTTCTTTACTCGGCCACGTCTTTTCTCAAATTTGCTCGTTTCCATCGACGTTGCTCTTTTTTTTTTATGTATTATATTTTTTTTATTACTATTGTATTAGCAGCGCAGATTTGTAACTTATATATCTCGAATATATTCATTTTTTCATATAGAAAATTAATAATGATCATTTATGATTAACTCACCTACGCCGAGGTGATTTTCCCGGCTTAGCGTCATGATTGATCATCCACCATGAACTCTTTCCAGTACCCTCGTTCTGTACTCGCATAAATTTGCAATGCAACGACAAATTGTGTCTTATGGAATTCTGAAAAAGAAATATCACTAATATACAATCTATTAATATATAAATCACGTATTAGATTTTTTTTGTAAATAAATCGCGACATGAAATCGGACCATATGTTCTCTCCTCTTTTACTAATCGTGCTCGAAGCAAACTTTGTTCTTTCTATCTGTTAATAGTATAGAAAAATAAAAGAAGAAAAAAAGGGAAAAAAGAAAAGAAATAAAACAGTAAAATACAGGAAGGACACACATGCGTATATCGAATATAGAAACGCAATTACTTTGTCAAAGGCACGAAACGGAATCGATTCGAAGGCAGAAATAGTAGTAGAAGAGTGAGAAAGAGAGATAAAAAGAGAAAGAATAAAAAGTAAGAGAGAAAGAAGAGAGAGAGAGAAAGAAGAGGGAGAGAGAAAGAGAGAGAGAGAGAGAGAGAGAGAGAGAGAGAGAGGTAACATTTTATCGGCTCGCCTAGTTCGTCCCTCGCTTTCTTCATTAGGCAAATTGAATCGGCTACGACTCGGGTACTCCATTCTCGAAAAATTTCCGAAAGCTTTCTGCCCTAATATGAAAGTATCACTGAGAAACTATAACAATTTCCTTTCGTTTCTCTTTCCTACGAATGATACACCCTGGTAAACGTACTACATTCGCGACTGTAAAGAGAACGAGAATTGCGACTATGAGAAAGAGAGACAGATAGATAGAGAAATTTCACAGCGAATCACGACAGCGATAACTAAGAATCACTTTTCTAACATCCATTTTCGGCATCGTAAACGCCTGTCTCTCCTCATACCATCCATCCATCCATCCGATTTTTCCCTATAATTCACCAAAGACGTTTATATTCTCTCGAAATGCTTAGCTGTTGCTAACATACATACCTACACGTGAATACACACATATATATATATATATATATATATATATATATATATATATATATATACGTTAAATAATATCAGGGAAAGNTCGCTTTCTTCATTAGGCAAATTGAATCGGCTACGACTCGGGTACTCCATTCTCGAAAAATTTCCGAAAGCTTTCTGCCCTAATATGAAAGTATCCCTTATATATATATATATATATATATATATATACGTTAAATAATATCAGGGAAAGTTAGATTATATTCTTAGACAATCGCGGAAGAAATAAATTGCTGATCGTTAATTTGGATATGAAAATTGAAGCAGGAGTTTTGCGAACTTGATCGAATCACCGAGCCACCACTGTTATCACCAATCTTCCTACATTACCACTATATACACAGATGTAAGAATAAAAAAAAAGAAACAGGTATGAGGGGGTTGGGAAGGAGGGGGTAGGAGAAAATCGTTGAAGAATTTATCGATCGAGAGTTACGCGAATTTACGATCGGTTCCTTCGTTTTCTTTAACCCTCCCCGAAATCTTTTTCGTCCTATTATATATGCATATGTACTATATATATATATATACATGTATGCGTACGTACATATGTATCTTTCTTTCTTTTTCTATTCTTATCAGGGGTAGCTTCTTTTCTTACTTTCCGAATGTATATAGAGTATAACGATAGAACCATTCCAGTCGTCATCCAGTTGCGAGAGTCACTATGTGATCGGGACTTTACAACCCCATCGTTTCCCCTGCATTTATCGGCGCTACGTTAGGAAGAAAATCTAGACGGTTTTGGCGCCACCATTCTGATTTTTACCTCCCTCTCTATCTCTATCTCTATCTCTATTTCTATCTCTATCTATCTTTCTTATACTGTTTAAGGTAACGACTACATTCAATTCTACTACGAGTGCAAGAAAGAAACAAATCATATGAATTCTAATGAAATTAATATTCTAAACTATTTATCGATAATATTCGCATAAATAATCGGGTTGTTAAAGTAACGTGTATTAAATGACCAATATAACTTAGATTTTTTCAAATCAAATTATTATTTCGATTGGCTCGTTCATCATACTTTTCATGTTTATCTAACGTTCAATCAAATTTATTGTTCATTTGTTTTTGTTTTTTCATCCAATCAAATCAAAACGGATAAATATTATCTCTCCAAATTATCTTACAAAATCAGTCGAATTTCTTTCGTATGGATTCGAAAGAAACTCTCGTAGTGGTGGTGGTGGTGGTTACCGATAAACTCTGGTACTTTCGTCAAAATCCCTATAAAATTCGCGGAAACGGTCGTCGAATGGGAAGGGTGGATAACGAGAGAGAGAGAGAGAGAGAAATAGATAGAGGGACCAAGTTATCACGGGGTTTCCAAACTGTATAACGCGCAATTTATGGTGCATACTTGTCCTTTTCCATTGTTCAGAAGAAGACGATAAGGGAGCGAGAGATCGTTGAACGTTCAACGTACGTACAAAAGTGCGAATAAGCTCGGTCCACGTCCGGACTTTTGTGAACTCCTTCCCTCCCACCCATCCCCTCACTCTCCCATATCTCTCTCTCTCTCTCTCTCTCTCTCTCTCTCTCATTCTCTTGTCTAGACTCTTCAGACACAACGGTACTTGCCCCGGAGGATGCTGACCAAGGCTCGTCGAAATGGTTTGGTTCAAGTATAAAGCGTGAAAGAGAGAGATAGAGATAGATAGATAGATAGATTGAGAGGGGGTGGGAGGGAGGTAGAAATAGAAAGCATTTAAACGCGTATCCTTTATCTAAATATTCTAACTTTATTATTATTTTTTAAAATTTCGTTCACACACACACACAAATATTGTTCATTTTTCTGTCACTATATGTACTATAATTCCATATAATATGATTTAATAATAATTGATTGTTCTTTCATTGGTATCTTTCACTTAGTTAACGTTACTCGATCGATATCGGTTTAAGAACGCGAAGAAAAATGGTAATTTCCTTCTTTTTATTCCTTCCTTTTACGTTTCATCGAAACTAGTAGACTCGTCATAGAGAATTCGCGATGTTCGAAAGAGCATTGGCTAACGGAGAACTCATGGCTTTGAATAATGGACGATGGTCGTTAGATGACTCGTGCACGAGAGCCTCAATTTTTAATACACATTACACACACGTATACACTATTCCATATAAGTAGGTACCTATCGAACCTAGGGATAAATCGAACAACGATCAGATGTGAATTCGATTGATCTTTCAAAGAAACTCATTTCTTTCTCTATACTTTTCTCTTTACTTTTCTCTTTTATGATTATATTAATAACCCTTTCTCATCTCCCTCCCTTTGTAACGCTATTTAATTCTTTTATATAATCGCATTAAAATATAATATTACGGATAAATTTCCCCTACAAAGTCATCACTGCGCATGAGCGGTTAAATAATTGCATAAAATAGATAAAAATACTAAAATCAGAACGTTTTAATCCTAAATTTTATTGATTAAATACATTATTACCTTTATACACATGCGCAACGTTTTGGAAGGGCATATAAACAATATTTAATAAAAGTAATTTGATAGAGAACAACGTCTTCATTGCAAAGGTGGATTTCAAAGGGGACGGTGCTCCGAACATATACTCAGTGTTTCTAAATTACAATACACATTTTTTTCGATTAATTTACAATTATTTTAATATTTTAATACACTCTCTTTATATTTCAGATTATTTAGACATATATATATATATTGATTTAAACATTACATATTTATTGACGTAGTTTTAATAGTTATTAATTTCGATCACAGCTGACAATCTAATATTTAAGTATATATTTTTTCAATCTTATTTATTTTGTTTCATTTCGAACATTAAAAAACAAATTTTGAGTTAAGGAGGGTTAAATGATTTCGAAGTATCGAAAGAGGAAGCAAATCTTGTACTATTATCGAGGGAACAAATAAGAACGAAAATAAAAAAATAAAAATAACCAAAACGGAAAGTGATGGCTCTATTTTCGTTTTTAACGGATGTGGCTTTAGTCTTGTCATAACTGGTAAACGCGAGCTTCTGTCTCCTACGAAGGAAACTACTAATTTTAAAATCATACACGGATTTTGCGGTTTGCCTTGAAGCACGTGTAGAAAAATTTTGTTTGTCATAGAAAACAGTAMAAAAAAAAAAAAAAGAAAAAAACAAAATGAATTACCATAGAACAATAATTTTCTACGATTTTTCTTCCTATAATTTATTTTCTTTTTACATTTCTACACAAATATGTTTCTATTAATTCTTGCGAATAAAAAAAAGGTTGTTCTTTAGAAAAAAGAATTTAATAAGTCTTTGGAGGTTTTTTTCCTTTTTTTTTTTTTTTGCAGTAAAAAAAGTATCGCAGCGAAACAATCAAACAAGACCATCCCAGTAATCCGTAGGAACATCTCGGTACACATTAATTCAATTTCATTGACAACGATGACAACGACGAGGTCAATTTCGTAAAAAGCATTTACCTAAGTAGGATCGAATACACGCGGGTAACAAAATTCTATACGCATATCATCCCACGCTTAAAACGACCACATACTACTCGTTTCATTCGATTTTCACGTTCCAATGGGCAAACAAACATTCAGTGTATACGTATAGTAACCGATAATAATTTCTCATTTAAATAATAATATCATTCGAATTTCTCGACACATCGCACGCGAATTCGCGCGATCATGTCAATATATTTTATGATAATTTGTAAAAAATATATTTGTTATACATATGCACCCAATAATCTCTACGTGGTCTGATCAAAGAAGTATTATATTAGTATTTAAAATAATAAATGAAAGAGAGTAACAAAAAAAGTAATATACAAATGTAGTAAAAGATAGAAAAAAGAAAAAGAAAGATATTGAGGGAAAGAGTTTATTTGGAAGATAGTGGGAAAGGTGACTCGGGTTAATTCGTTGAAGGGGGTAGAAGAGAAGATCGGAGACTACTATAAAACGAATTCCACTCGATTGGGAGCACTCAAATCAGAAATCCGGACTGGCAGCCAAACGTCGTGCTAAACCGGAAGCGAGACGGGGACGAGACGGAAGAAGGACAGACGACAGGAAGGTTAGGAAAAAGAAAGAATAAAATAG